TATACTGTGGTGTAGTGTAGTGTAGTGTACCATACGGTACTGTAGTGTAGTGTACCATACTGTAGTGTACTGTACCGTACCGTACTGTTCTGTACCGTTCTGTTCTGTTCTGTTCTGTTGTCACCCCTCAGTAGATGGTTTGTTGATTTATTTATTTATTTATTGTTTTTCTTTGCAGTCGTCTGCAGTGTAGTGTAGTGTACTGTACCGTACCGTACTGTTCTGTACCGTTCTGTTGTCACACTCCTCAGTAGATGGTTTGTTGATTTATTTATTTATTTATTTATTGTTTTTCTTTGCAGTCGTCTGCAGGACCCAGCAACGACAGCAGGGGGCAGAAGAGGAAGGCTGAGGACAGTGACAGTGAACCAGAGCCTGAGGACAACGTCAGGTAAATCTGAATTTTCAGACTGGTTCAGGAGGATGAAAGTACCGGTCCACGACCCAGACTTTGGTCCACTCTCTGTCCCTGATGAGAACAAAAACAACAAGTAATCAGAGTAAAAGTCAATAAAGTAGAGTACAATAAAATCAGATAAACTTTGGAGTAACAGTAGTATTACTGTAGTAAACAATACTCAGTACTGAATAATGTCCTAGAAAATACTGTGGATTTGAAGTGAAAGGAAAAGTGGGCTGATGAGTCGTGGTACACGTGGGTTGTACCACGACTGTTGTGTGGTCCGACTGTTGTGCCCCCCCCCCTCACGTCTGTCAGTTGTGGAGGACTGGTCCCTCTTCTGGGTGTATGTGGTGGGAACTCATAATCAAGACGCTGCAGCATCTGTGTGGTGGATTCACGCAGCGGCCTGTAGGGAGCGCCGGCTCCTCAGAGGGAAGCCTCTATGAATACAAATGGAGCTTCATGGATTTAGATCAGACCTGACAAGTGTGTCACCCTGGAGTTTACAGCAGCCTTCCTGCTTTACATATTAATCACACACACACACACACACACACTCAGGCCTCTGTGTGTGTGTGTGTGTGTGTGTAACAGCCTGGTGGCATTAATGACTTTGTCTCTTCTTCTGTCACTGAGTCTGATCAGGAATTTACAGCATTTAAACAGTGATGTTGTTGTTGTTGTTGTTGATGTTGACTGAACCCTGTCCTCTCCCCTGTCCTCCCCTGTGTCCTCCTTTGTCTTCTCCCCTGTCCTCTCCCGTCCTCTCCCCTGTCCTCTCCTCTGTTCTCCCCTGTCCTCTCCCCTGTCCTCTCCCCTGTCCTCTCCTCTGTTCTCCCCTGTCCTCTCCCCTGTCCTCCCCCCTGTCCTCCCCTGTCTCTGTCCTCCCCCCTGTCCTCCTCTGTCCTCCCCCCTGTCCTCTCCCCTGTCCTCTCCCCTGTCCTCCCCCCTGTCCTCCCCTGCCTCTGTCCTCTCCCCTGTCCTCTCCCCTGTCCTCTCCCCTGTCCTCTCCTCTGTTCTCCCCTGTCCTCTCCCCTGTCCTCTCCCCTGTCCTCCCCTGTCTCTGTCCTCTCCCCTGTCCTCCCCCCTGTCCTCCCCTGTCCTCCCCTGTCCTCCAGGCTGTGGGAGGACGGCTGGAAACAGAGATACTACAAGAACAAGTTTGACGTGGACGTCAGTGATGAAGACTTCAGGAAGAAGGTGGTCAAGTCCTACGTGGAGGGTCTGTGCTGGGTGCTGCGCTACTACTACCAGGTCAGCTGACTGACGGACGGATGGACGGCTGTCTGTCAAACACTGAATCATTAGTTTTGCTAAAATATTGGTCTTTATGTGGAAATGAAATAATCAGCTGTGGAGCCTCTTCACATCAGACGGGGATTAGTTTGGACTGATTGTGCTCTACACACACACACACACACACACACACTCTCTCTCTCTCATTCACAAATGGTGAATGCCCCCCCCCCACTCCTTGTCCCCCAGGGGTCTCTCTGGATGAATTGATTAGTGGGTCTCTCAGTGGAGCAGGAGAACGTGTCTGCTCTCTGCTGTCACACATTCACACACACACACACACACACACACACACACAGACAGGTTGGCAGAAATCGGTGTAAAGTTCTGAACCCTGTCATCTGGTCTGTGATTGGCCGGCTCCACAGGACTGTTGTAGCTAACGTTAGTGTTAGCTCGTAGCTAACGTTAACTCTGGTTGTTGTCCGTCTGCAGGGCTGTGCCTCCTGGAAATGGTACTTCCCCTTCCATTATGCCCCATTTGCCTCCGACTTCAAAGACATCAAAGAGATGTTCACAGAGTTTGAAAAGGACACCAAACCGGTAAGAAGAGACCACTGGTCAGTCTGTCCTGTCACTGGTCAGTCTGTCCTGTCACTGGTCAGTCTGTCCTGTCACTGGTCAGTCAGTCTGTCCTGTGACTGGTCAGTCTGTCCTGTGACTGGTCAGTCAGTCTGTCCTGTGACTGGTCAGTCAGTCTGTCCTGTGACTGGTCAGTCAGTCTGTCCTGTGACTGGTCAGTCTGTCCTGTCACTGGTCAGTCTGTCCTGTGACTGGTCAGTCTGTCCTGTCACTGGTCAGTCTGTCCTGTCACTGGTCAGTCTGTCCTGTCACTGGTCAGTCTGTCCTGTGACTGGTCAGTCAGTCCTGTGACTGGTCAGTCTCTGAGTGTCTGTTTCTTGTCTGTAGTTTAAGCCCCTGGAGCAGCTGATGGGGGTGTTTCCTGCTGCCAGTGGTAACTTCCTGCCTTCAACGTGGAGGAACCTGATGTCCAGTCCAGTAAGTTTGTCCAGTCCTGAGTGAAGCTCATCTTTGGTTGGTTGTTGTTCTTCTGACCTGCTCCTTCCTGCAGGACTCCTCCATCATCGACTTTTACCCTGACGACTTCGCCATCGATCTCAACGGCAAGAAGTACGCCTGGCAGGGTGAGTCTCTGGTTCTGATGTGACACCTCCACTAGGGGCAGTGCTGAGTTCAGAATTCCCAGTTGATGTGATGACGTCAGGACTCAGACGTGTGTGTGTTTGTGTGTGTGTTTTGTAGGCGTGAGAGTGCTGCCGTTTGTTGATGAGAGGCGGCTGAGAATAGCTCTGACTGAAGTTTATCCAGACCTCACTCCAGACGAAGGTGAGCCTCCCCCTCCCCCCCCCCCCCCCCCCCCCCTCCCCCCCCTTTTCTTCTCTGTTGCTGTGTTGTTACAGTGAGGAGGAACAGTCTGGGCAGTGACATCATGTTCCTGGGCAGGTCTCACCCCCTCTTTGACTTCATCCATGAACTTTACCGCACAGAAACTCAGGAGGTAACACCCCCCCACCCCCCACTGAA